CTCTAGCAGTACACCGGATACCTCAGACTCGGAGAAGGGGGAAGCTGCACCTAAAATACCTAAAACGAATCTGAAGTACAAGAAGAAGAAACATATAAGATAAATGGATATTTCAACAGGATATAAGTGATTATAAAACACCAGAGACTAGTATTAAGATTAAGCCAGCGTTAACCTGAATTTTGATAAATTGATCTTTGTTATTATTGTAGGATTCTTATATATACATTGTAACATTTAGATCACGATCCTTGCCTTATCTTTTGTTTCAGATATAGTGTTTACCCCCTATTCCTTTCCCTTTAGGATGTAGGTGATAAAATGCAATAAAAACGTTATATAAAAAATAACTGTAGCTGGCAGCAACACTAATTAAGCTTTGGTAAATTCCCTCACATGTACTTAACTAACCACATTTAGAAGTCACTTGAATTCAGTTTGTCAGGTGCAGGGTGGGATAGAAACTATGCTGGTCAAACTTCTTATCACTGTAGTGTCACTAAAAACCCCAGCCTTCACAGCAGTTGACTCCAAAGGACAGATCTATCTAGTGTTGTGGTTGTTGGTGCTCTCTGCCACTTACTCAGCACATTAGCAGTGCTATTTGGATTTGTATTGGCAAAAAGCCTTGGTCTTATGATGGTCTCAGCTGCTGCATTTGCAGAAAAATTTCTGGAGCCAGAAGAGAGAACACAATGAAAAAAAGGGATTACCGAACATGCACGGAGTCAGAAACAAGAGTAGCCTGACATGAACATGTAGAAGTAGAAAAGAGCAAGAGTCAAGTGGCACCTTAAAGACTAACAAAATTTGTGGCAGGGCATGAGGTTTTGGAGCAGTGACTCATGAAAGCTCATACCCTGCCACATATTTTGTTAGTCTTTAAAGTGCTACTGGACTCTTGCTCTTTGCTTCTTCTACAGACAGACTAACATGGCTACCCATCTTGATATATGAACATGTAGAGACTTTTAGGGTGGTATAAGAGGACTTGGATTCAGAAATAGCTAAATAAGTCGTTATGCATCTTGGTTTGTGAGCAAGCACAAATAGGTTTAGAGCCAGACAGGCTGTTAGTCATGCATAAGCAATGTGAATGCTACAATATATACACATCTCTAGACATGTAGTAGAGTGGACAGGAAATAACAAATATTATTTTTAAGACAGCTAGGGGAAATTACTGACTTTGAATTTTAAAACAAATGAGGGATGTAGATGATTTTCTTCTAGGCAGGCTTGTTGCAAGACTCCTATGTCCTTTGAGAGCCAGTGTTGTGTAGTGGTTAAGAGTGGTGGGACTCTGATCTGGAGAACTAGCTTTGATTCCCAATCCCCACTCCCCACATGAAGCCAGCTGCATAACCTGGGGTCAGTCACAGTTCTCCCAGAGCTCTCTAAGCCCCACCTATCTCACAGGGTGTCTATTGTGGGGACAGGAAGGGAAGGCAATTATAAGCTGCTCTGAGACTCCTTTGGGTAGCGAACAGCGGGGTATAAAAACCAACTACTACTACTACTACTACTCTTCCTCCTCCTCCTCCTCTTCTTCTTCTTCTTCTTCTTCAATTGGCCTTCTATAACAGGCTTATTACAGTGCTCGTTCAGTATTTCAGTTCAATTCTGTTTGAGTGGCTTGCCTATTTAGCTCTGAAACATCAACAGTAGAGTCTAAGTGAGACTTTAGCCATATGTAAAGTGGTTGCTCACATCTGAAAATGGCTGAGTGTATTAAGGAAAGCAGGCAAGAAGAACACTGCAATGAGGATCTCAGTTATTTATTTATTTATTTAGTTAGTTATTTGCCTTATTTAGTTATTTACTTTGTTACTTAGAGGATTTCAATTATTTACTCTTAGCCTTCAACAATTAAGAAGAATACATTTACACAGTAGTCTCCTATTTTGACATATTTATGTGATCCACTGTGTTTTCCCCCATAATTAAATCCAAACAAATGGTGACCATATAAACTTAGCTTGTTATTCCTGTTTGGTCTTTGCTTCTTTTAAAACATTTTCATTGTGTTGTATGCTAATTTGCTGTTCACCATCTGTCTATATGTATGGACTGTTAACTTCCATTTCAATGTATTTGAGGAAGTGTGCATGCACACGAAAGCTCATACCTTGAATAAAACTTTTTTGGTCTTAAAAGTGCCACTGGACTCAAACTTTGTTCTAATGCAATGAGTAGTTAGCTTGTGGTCAGTTGTCTGTGTTAGTATTAATTATTTTAAATAAACCCTTAAAAATCTAATGTTATTCACATGGTAAACCTACATCCTTAGTTAACAAGAATTATATTCACTAAATTTGTGTATGTATGTGCTTTAAATTTTTCACAGTACAGTGGGGAAGTAGTTCAAATCACCCTGTAATTCATTTTGCTTTTTACGTGTGAATAATGCTAATACTTATAGTGCCCTCAGGATAGTTTTACATTTTTCAGCAAAGCAAGGGGAAGAAAGGAGAAATGAGGCAAACAATATCCACTTGTTGTTTATAATAGTATTTTACATAGTAATATAAGCAGAAGACAAGTTCCACTCTCACATTTTAATCATCATGGCAGAGAAGTAAGCTTGACTCTGAATGGTACTCAGCTGAAAATACTTCAGATTATGTTTTTAAATACAGGGTTCTTTTAAAAAAGAAAAGGATGTGAAATATCTTGCAGCACACAGATTGTGGAGCACAGAATCATGCTCATATCATTTAATGATTTCCTAGACAAACTATTTACTAAAATGATGCTGGGGAGGGGGAGAGTGACAGCCAGAATTGTGTATATATCTTGGGTGTGGTTTGCCATTGCAAACCGCTACATATGGTACATGTCTATAGGTCTTGGAAACTCTTCCTTTCAAGCCAGTGTTGCAACTAGGTGTGTTCCAGTAAGCTAAATGCCTCCCAGTCATTCTGTGACACAGTTTATACTGTCCTCTTTATGGCTCCAGCTGTTGTGGACGTGCCTGATTTTTGATGTGGGTTGCTGTAGGCCACATGTTAATAAGGCACATTTTCCTTTGACCCTTGATTGGCACATGGAGTTCTAGGTTTCATTCCTTTCTTTTTCACAGCCCAGGGAATGAGGTTGTTCATATTCTCATTGTTTCTGTTGTTAAAGCTTGGTACAATCTCTGAAGTCTAGTTCTGGGAAACAGGAGCTATTGTTGCATGTCTACTGTTTCTGGTTAGCATCAGCCTCTTCCCTGCTCTTATGCTTACAACCTGATGGATCACATATGTTGTAATGACAGTTGAGGCTTGATCAACCTACTGTTTGGTTCTGTTTTGGTCTCTATTCTTTCACTGTTTCCACTTTTTGCTTAATAGTCACCACTTTCTCAGAGACAAAATTTAATATAATTAAGCAGGAGTCCAGTAGTACTTTAAAGACTAACAGTTTATTCCAGCATATGTTATGAAAACATATGCTGTTTGTTTTCAGCTTGTTTGTCAGAGCTTGTTTCCTGAGATGCAGGAAGAGAAGAAGTGAGATGCATCCAGTGTTCCCGCTAGCTGAGTTAGTGTGAGCTCGCTCACAGTTTTTTAGCCTCACATATTTTTGACTCACATATTTTTGTCTTAGCTCAGGAAGGATGGCTCCAGAGCAAACTAATTTATGCAGTAGCCAAATCGCTCACTCACAACTTTAATGCCAGTAGCTCACTAAGTAGAATCTTTGCTCACAAGACTCCACAGCTTATAGGGAGCATTGAATGCATCTGAGTGAGCTTTGACTCACAAAACTTTGTGCTGCAATTGTTAGTCTTCAGTAAGGTGTACTAGACTCCAGTTTCCTGTTTAATGTTGATACAGCTGTCTAACACAGTTGGCTCTCTGGAAATTGTTTACATGGTAGGGGGAAAGGGAGACAATGCTAAAAGCACTTCTTAATTAGCATTTTTATTAGTTGACTATCATTATTTCTCAAGCTTTGTTTTTAAAGTATATCAGTATATTGTTGATAAATGGTTGGTAGTGGCTCATTATTTAATTTTCAGTGTAACTTTTCCCTTCATTATTTTATGCTTATAATTTTATACACACACATATGCAGACACATGCATCCTTTTCTCTAACCATTTCCTTATACTATAGCATGTCCAAGAAACAGAATCTAATTTGGGGGTATGTGAATGAAGTGTCAGGTCTGGGTAGACAGACAAGGCTCCATTCTCAAAAGCAGGTTTACCCCTGCTTTCCATGTGCACTCATTCCCTCCCCCCCCAAAAAAAATATATGAATGGGTGCCATTTTCTTCTGTGAGGGAACATTGGACACATTGCACTTGGGCACTGTTACAGTGAAGGGAAAACCTGTCCTTTACCCTAATCACTGGGTGGTCTAACCTCCGCTGATATGGATATTCTTCTTCCACACATACCAGCCATTATAACAGTTGGCTTTTATCTAGTGTGTGTATTGTCCGTATGTATGTTTATGAAATAAATTTCAATTTCTTGTTCAGGTTTAACACAAAAAAGCCTGTCCTTCCTTCTTCCATAGATAGCAACTTTGTGATTAATTATTCTGGTTCTAATAAAAAGTTTCTACCCATTTAAATACTGTTACAAAGTTGCATAATATTCTTAGAGATTACTTCTAAAATAATTTGTATCTTGGTTGGTCCTCTAATTTAGATTTCCCCTTATTTTTTCAGATACTTAAAGCTTCAAAAAGACTGTCCCTACAGCAAGAGGACCAGCCTAAACCATACTCCACAAAAGGGGAGCAGATGCTTGTTAGATACCTTTTACGATGTAATTAACCAAGCAGATCAGAAACCTGGGGAACAAACACTAAAGGCATTTTCACAAGTGATGCAAACAAAGCTTTTTGTCTGGAATGCATCTCTTGTGAATGTTGTTAGTATGGTATACAAAGCAATATAAAACCATTTTTGAATTGAATGGATATTCTGGTCAATGTAGATTTTACCTCCTTTCCATAGATACAGTAAATTTTTAAAAGTCATTTGTGAAACAGCCTAAGAACCGAGAATGTGTAGCACTCGTGACATATTAGTATACCTTTAGCATCCATTTAGAATCCTAATATACATTCTTATTTTTGTCATATTTAGTATGCAAGATGATTTTATTTTTCCCTAGATCAAGCAGTTTGTTAAATATTTTCTATGTCATAATTGTTGATATGCTATTTATAATGTAGCAGTAAATGATTTGAGAATTTTTAATATATATATATGTGGATATATTAAAATCTGGATGCAATTAAGTTAGCAAAGCTTAAAAACAGGATAAAGTAACTTCTGGAAATATTTTCATTTATTGTGGTGAACACTAACTAGGAAAATAGAGCTGTGAAATTTTGACTTGGACCTATTCATATACTTGTTTGTAGGTGATTTATCTGTTTGAGCTTCAACTCACTTTAAACTATGTGCAGTGCTACAGGAAAAAACAAATAGTTAATCATGGCTGTATAATAAATTACAATTTTTTTATGGCTCACTCTTCTCATAATGACCATTGAATATTAAAGTAAACTTTGATGATTTCACTAGCATTCTGGAGATGGGCCATGTTTCAACTGAAATCTCCCTAAAACCCATAATGTCTCAGTGGCAGGTTTTTCTTTTTTGCCCATGGGCCTGGTGATGTCATAGACACAGTTTCAATGAACTGTTCATCAACAAAGCTCTGCAGTTAAATCTGCATACATATCCATTCCTGCAACCACTTGCTCAAAAGTGGTCCTTCTCTCAAATGTGATACACTAGAACTGGTGATTTCAGGTTGTAGCTGTTCTCAGAATTTGATTGGGAGAAAAGCAGAATATAGGTATTTTAAATAAGTTAATGTTAACTTACGGGCTTGACCAAAAAGAATAGTTATAAATTGAAGTCAGTATTGGTTACTGAAGCCCTTATTTTGATCATCAATGAAGATGAACTTTAACAAAGGTGGTATGTTAGTTAACTGTTGCATGGTGCTGTTCCATTGATTTGTGCCCTCTAGTTCAGGCCACATTAATTAATTTTGTTCTCTTTCAGCTCAGGAATAGTTTGTGTGATAATACTTGTAGAAACAAAAATACAGCTTCAGCTTAAATTCAGAAATTAATAGAAACACTAACATAGTATACAGTCCCCAAAATACTTAAGAGCAGTTTGAAGTACCATTGAAGTCACTTGGGTTGTTCTAGAACTTTGTAGAATCTTTCTCTTGTGAATTGAAGCCAATGCTTAAACTTAAAGGATTTTTTAAAATCCCTAAAATTAGGAACATTAAGAAGACATTGTGTTCTATTAATTTTTGTGCGTGGGAATTCAAGGTATTAATAAGAGTTCAGCAAACTGTGAGTGTGTCTGTCTCATACTTATGTGGGATGATTCTTCCCTGCACTGGTGCATATCTATGCATAAAGAGATTTCCACAGAGCATAAAAAAGCCATGTTTCCCCTTTCTTTCAGTGCATAGGCACTACTTAAGACTGTTATTGGGAACGGGAAGCCTGTCTATGTATTCTGTATCCTTGTTCAGCCTTCTCTTGCTGCTTAATCCTTAGGCTGGGGAGGGGGATATGAAAGGTATGCACATATGATATTAGGCAGGGTCATAGTTCATAGGTATAGCACTTTGTATGTTGCAGGTACTCGGTTCAATCCCTGACAATCTTTTGGTTCGGGAATAGTTTGTGTGATAATGCTTCTTCTGTTGTGTTGTGCAAATCCTTTCTCTCCTTGAGAGGTCTCAAGAATTGATGATACCGTGTTTCCCCGAAAATAATACACTGTCTTATATTTATTTTTTCTCAAGAAGACACACTAGGGCTTATACCACAAATGCATAGAAATCCTGCTAGGGCTTATTTTTGGGGTAGGTCTTATTTTCGGGGAAACAGGGTAGTACTGTCTGCTCTAACTGAGTAGGATTGCCAGCCAGTCCTGGCAATCCACCTAAAGAGTTTGGGGGGCAAGGACTATCTTCTTGCTTTCAGCAAAAAACAAAAGCAACATCATTGTGCCTGGGTCATGCTCTGGTTAAACCTGTCTCCCCTAGTACTGAGTTAGATGGATTAATGGCTTGACTTTATAAAAGGTAGCTTAATGTGTTCACGGCCCTCTTTTTCCCTGTATTGGCCTGGCCTGGTGCCTGAATGGGTGCACCAACAGAGAAACAGGGCTCAGTTCTCCTCATGGGAGTCACTCCACTCTTGGGCACAGCATGTGTGCAGGGAAGGGTCATCCCATATAAATTGACACTTTTAGGAAGCAATACTCCTCTAAATTTGTTGATGCAAGTATAGGCAAAGTATTATTATTTGTGGGAAATTGTGTGTTTCTGAATGACAGAGCAATACTTTTTTATAAGGCCATCCTTTTAAGGACACTTGCGTGAAAAATAAGATTGTGTTTGGCTAAATGAACCGTTTTGTACACTGATAATCTATTTTTAAAATACTGTAATAAAAGTATTTCTATGCTGTGATCAAATTTTAAAAATGCTTATAATTATAGGATTTTATGATATTCTTGTTTACACAAGTGTGCCATGGTGGGCCGGGTTCAGGGGACCTGATGTACCTTTCTTCTGTCTTAATGTTTGTCTGCAATAAAAATACAGAAGAACATGTTCACTGACTAATTATTTTCCTGATATACAGACCTGCATCTCCTTTTTACTTTTTAAAAAATGTTATTCATTTTATCATAGAGAATGTGGATGCAGAAAGCTAGCTTGTTGGTTTTGTGTTCCACATTGGCTTTATTGTGCGTTCGCCATCAATTGGTCAAATCTTAGGTTTTGGTTTTTTTGTCTTTTTTTACTATGAAGAGTTTTATCCTATGATCTTGGGAACTATTGTTAACATCAAACACGACAAATCTATTCCTTGTGGGGCCACAATGTACATTGGCAATATCGTTAGGTAACTTGCACCTTTTAGTGTAGCAAGTTAGTTAAGAAATGGCATCAATAATAGCACACAGTGTAAGCAATGATTTACAAAGTTCAGAAACTGTTATTAGGCCCAGAGACAGAGAGAAGGAAAAGCTTATGTAAGAAGGAGAAAGGCAGGACTGGAGACGGCTCATGGGCTGTCCTTAATGCCACTGAGACCAGCTTTTTGCTGAGCAACTTGTTTCTTATATACAGTTCATCCAGCTCCCTAAATGAAGTTTCTTTGCATTATAGCAGGACTCAAGATGGTCACATACTGGAAGTAATGGCACTGTGCATTGTGCAATTTCTGATTCACCCTTTATGTGCAGCAAGAGGACAGTTTGTTCAGCCAGTGACTACCATGCAATATCGTCCAACGTTGCACTAGGCTTACCAGAAGGCTGGCATCTTGGCCAGGAGTATATCAAGGGATTTGTATAAAGCCCCATATCCACATGGGACTTTATATGAACTCATGACGTTTGCTCAAGAAAGAGCCACAGTAATGATCATACAAACTAGTCATGGAAGCATTTGTTTGTAGGTTCTGTGTGAATATTGTGGTTTGTGCAGTTGGTTCCTACACATGATCCCAACTGATTCTCAGGTCCATCTGAGGTTCTTACTGTGGGTAAGAACCAAATCATGGTCTGAAACACAGTGAGTAGGAAAGTATATTGCTGAAGTTTTTTTAAAAAAATCACTGTGGGCTGATAAAAATTTTGTTTTAAAACCCTCTTTGTCGAGGGGGGGGGGGGATGTTAATCTGTAGGGCATGAAGACATAATTGTTGTGATACTTTAGAGTAAATTGAGGTTATGATTGCAGGCAAATACCTCTTTAATCAAGCACAGGTAATGGACTGAGAATATGATAAATAATGGTCTTGAAGGGTATATAGAAAATCAACATACTTTACAAATAACTGTCAGCATGAGTCCCCATTTCTAATATGAGGGTAATCCTGCTCTCTTCTTTAGACAGCCAGTATTATCATCCCCATATTGTAAGGATTTTAGTGATAAGAATATAAGAAGAGTCTTATATAATAGTCTGTTGGACTGTTTCCAGCAGAAGGCCCACAGAAGGAGGTACAAAGCCTCCCACTGTTGCTACCGTCTACCAATGGATATTCTGAGGTATGTTGCTTTCAGACATGGAAGTCCCATTCAGCCGTCATAACTAACAGCTATTAACAGACCTTTCAGATTTGCCAGTTCCATCCCACATAATATTACTTATGTGCTTTGAACACTGAAAGCAATACTTAAATACCAGTAGTCATTACCATATAGACATTAAAACTGAACTATATCATATTTGGACGCAGGCTATTTAAAGATAAGATACCATGATCTTGTAAAAAAGAGAGAGAGAGAGAGGGAAAGATACTTTAAAAAGTGATTTGTATATTTTCCAGGGCAAGGTGAAAAAGAAACTCAGCAGAAGGAGAAAGGTAAGGTACTGCAAATACATGTTGCACAAAATCTGGAGTTTCTACATGGCGACCAGGATAGAGTGGAAATGGAACAAAAGGCCTCGTGCCCCATTATGTTGCCACGTTTCACAGCCTCATTTTAAGCTAAAGATAGCTTCAGAGCCTTGGCATTTGAGGCAAGAGTCCCACTGTGCTTCCAAATGCTCCATATATTTTAGAATGTTAGAAGTCCTTATAAATCTAGAAAGCTTGTAATGAATTTACTTAAAATCAGACATAGTGCAGCAGCTACACTGAACTGATCAATGTAAAAATAATGTTTTTACTTCATGGAATCCACTTTTATTGTACTGAGTCCACAGTCATTTTCTGTGTTCTGTGTTTTCATGGATGAAAAGAACCACGAACTGAGGCAGACCTAGGGGGGAGGGGGGCAGTTTCTGCTGATTCCTTCTGACTGCAGCTCCAGCACACACATCCTACACTGTTCTCTGAAGTCTCCCATCCTCTGGGGCAGCACAGGAGCTGTAGTAGGAGGGAACTGGTAGAGTTCCCTTTTCAAGCTTCACTCCAGGTTCTCTGTATCCAAGCTATTAATTTTCATTCAAATAACTTGAGTTTTGTTTTAAAAGTGAAGGTATAGAAATACTGCCTGCAAAGAAAAATTCTGTCAAAACAAAAGATTCCCACCCACCCCCCTCAATGTAAGCTGCAAGATTTCCTGTTAGTCTCATGCTGGGTGAATGGAAGGCTTCTATTTTCTGCTGC